AGTGTCTTAAGGTTTTTCAAAACATTCATCAGTTTTCAAGTGATTTGACATTTTCCAGCTCAACTCTTCGATTTTTTGTCGAGTTTGGAGCCTTCCGCAAAACTGTTTCCGAAATCTACATGTTTTTTCAGCAAAAAATGTGTAGAGACTTTGAAAAAGTCAATAGTTTTCGAGTAATTTTGAAATTTCTAACTCATGTTACTCATTTACACCCAGCAACTTCAAAATAAAAACTGAAAAAATAGGTAAATTAGCTTCATCCACTTAATTATTCACCTTGTCATCACTGAAATCCTGCATCAAATGCGATGTGAAACAAGCCTTGAATTCAAATGTTGCTGGTTTAAACGTCGCATTTATAAATAAGTCTGTATCACGATTTGCCCTATTTGTCGTGTTTATTTTCATGTTGTTTCATGTCATGTTTTACCCAAGAATCTTTCTTTGCGTCGATTGTATAAGTGGATGTGAGCAACTTGGACATTCCATATTACAAGCAGTTGGTCGTTTTATTAGTGTCTATTTCTCAGTTCATTTTGTTTGTCTGTTCTTGTCTGTGCTTTTTTCGTGCTAATTTGTACATTCACATTTGTGTTTTTCAGTGGTCGCGAAACTTCACAAAGTAACATATGCGGGATTTGTCGCGTTTCGTCAAAAATCGACAGTTTTTTTAGGGTTTATTTCGCCATTCTTCTGCAGCAAAAATGCGTTTTCTCATTGCAGCATCAAGGATGATTTGCCTTCTGCTTTAAAAAGTGTCACTTTACTTCTATATCCACTCATTAAGCTCCTGAAGTTGAAAGCGATTGGGATAATTTCTGCATTTGGAACATGACAACAAACGAGGAAGTTGTAAAAAAATACTCGCAACAAAACAGGTTGAAAAGACGATGCAAAGACAATTCATAAATTTTCCTCCCAAAATAATCTCTCCCCTGTCTGCATTTCGTATCGTTCTCACCATCAACTTCAGAAGCTCTAATGAACGTATAGCATTCAGAAAGCATTCATCAATCATAAGCTTTATCGCCCAAACCTATCTCTTGTTGGACAATTGAAGCCTACCAGAGTCGGACTAAAAGAAGTGCTTTCAACCACTGGTTGAGATGCGTGTCATGCGAAAATATGTTAGATTGTCTGGTTCCCAGAACTGCAATGAAATATTTTAATGTTTGGATCTCGTGGTTGAAGCTTCTTCTCGCGTTTCGTTACACACGAGCTTGTCGGCCATGTGTTATTCAAAAAAAGCTTTCCTAGAATTAAAAAAAAAACGGAAAACTTCCTTTTAATAACCGCATAATGCGATTTGCTGGAAGAAAAGAGCCACAGGAGGAACACAATAATATCGAATTATTTTCGCAGGGAGCTTGAATTGATCCTGATTAATTTGATCATGCGGAAAATGTCTTCGGACAAAAGAATGCCTTTTTGAATATTAACGTCGGCTGGGGTGTGAATTCAATTTCTCCATCAAGCTCTACTCTGTTAACTTTGACAGCTTGAAAGGAGCCTCATTTAATTAAGGAACTGCAAACACACGAAACGCTAATGAATTTGAAATGAAACGTTCATCATCCGCTGAACTAAAAATTAGCTGCAATAATGAAAAGATCCGTTTGAATAATCTATTGTTTATTGTTACGGATGACCTTAAAAGGTCAAGATGATGCTATAATTAATATTGGCTCTGGCAAGTGGAGGATGATGTCACGTCCAGTCTAACCAACCACAAAAAACTCTTCGTGTTATTGGGAAATATTTGACGCTCAATTAACACTCCTTACATCACTAATTGGCATACCTACAAGCACAATTATCGTTTCTCAGCCGAAGAACCCTTTAGGCGTGTTCACTTGTGATCTACTGCCTGGCCAGCATGACAAATTTCATAATTGATGAAGCCTTTTTTCTAAATTATCACCAGCCCAAGCCCCTCAGCATTTTTTAATTGAATACCCAGGCTGTAAATTGGACTATTCGAATTTTATTAGTGTTATTAATTATACCAACTTCTTCATCTTAAGAATGCTTTAAGTTAGAGGCAGAGGTTGAAGCTGCAAAAGGCAGTCGTGTAAAGTTTTCTAGTTAAACGGTGAAGGAGACGAAGCTCCAGGGTTGTTACAGTGAGTGGGTTTATCATCAAACTTTAGTAAATGCACAACAAGTTTTCTAAGTAAAGTGTTGGAAAATACGAGAAAATCAGGCAAAAACTTCAACTGAAATGATCAGAAACTGTCTTGCTCTTTACTAACCCAAAAGCCAAAGAGTTGTATTTTGGCAAACTGTGACTCGTTTTGAGCAGTGGGTTTATCCTCAAACTAGTAAATGCACAAGTTTTGTAAGTAAAGTATTGGAAATTACGAGAAAATCAGGCAAAAACTGCAACTTAAATGATCAGAAACTGTCTTGCTCTTTACTAACCCAAAAGCCAAAGAGTTGTATTTTGGCAAACTGTGACTCGTTTTGGGCAAAATTTGAGCGTTGAAAGCAGCAAACTGTGGTGAAAATACCAGAGGAAAATTGAAGTTTTTTGCAGTTGCCGCTTCAAATTTCCGCTGGACGACTTCATTTGCGTTTGTCTTTAGGGGCTTTTATCGTTTTCAGTGACCAAATATAGCTAGACTTCGCCTCCGCAAAAGCCGAAGGAAAATGCCCGCACAGCGTTTGAATCGAAGAGCATAAATCAGTCATTCCCCTAACGGTCGCCCATCTGTCTCCAGACCAACACAGGGAAAACATTCCGTATAAAATGGCAACGATTTGTTTCCGGCCACCTCCTCTACCGCCAAACAAAAAATCGGTTTCTTCGGCCCGTGCGAACGCGAAAAAGGGCCAACAACAGCACTTGAACCATTCACCTTTGTCGTCCACGTATTTGAGTTTTCGGGATCCGTCCGACGATGTCCTGGTGCCGATCGAGTCGATCGAAATGTCCAGTTTTTCGGTTAAAAAAACGAAGCGGTCCAGACGGGTTTCGCATACCAATTCGCTAAATCGCGGACGCGACTCCAAAACGCTCCTCACCAGAAGTCATTCGGAGGGCAATCTGGACAAGGCTGGAGTTGAGGATGGGGCGCCTCAGCTGTCCATCAGCCGGTACATGCGGGTGCTCAGTGGCAGCTGGAAGAATTTGCTGAATTGTAAGTTGAAACTCGTCGCTTTTTAACTTACTAATCACCGGCTTTGTATGTATATGCTTGCAACACTTGCTTAATGCTTTCCCTTAGTCTAAGAACTGTTTATTTGAAGCCCACCAATCCGCCAACTGTCTGAATTTGAATGGATTTTTCTGGTGTTTAAATAAAGCAATAACGTGACCGCAGCTGGACCCATAAATCATGCAGTTTTACCCAATCAAAATAGCTATTCTAAGTGGAATTTGCCCCCTTGTTAAGAGACCTGAAAACAACACCGACATCTACAAATAAGACACATTCTCGGGCTGTTCCGCAAAGAATGTTGTTGGCAAGTCAATTACACTGCAGTCTAAGCGACTTGCGAAAGAATGAGACAACCAGTGCATTCAGTTGTGGAAGTTCTCGAAAAAACGTCCTGGATTTGCGCCAAACACATACCTTATTCATGCCAAAGTAGCCGAAGTTTGAACTGAACTTGTATTACGTTGCTGTAATCATACAGGAAATTTGAAATGGGATCTGGGGCATAAGAGATGCATAGCTGAGGGAAAGTTTTCCATCGAAACACAAAAGTTGATTTTTGTCCCACACAGTGAAACAAAAGTTCTAAATTAGGATCACAAGTTTTGAAGCCACGACTATATCGTTCAGTTTTGCGTCCGTCCGTCTATCTCTGTGCTTTTATATGCGCAAGTCCGTGCTGCTCTGAGGGGCGTGGCTTAATGTAAATAGGGTAAAAACGTTTTGTGTTGCAATTTACTAGATTTTGGGCGAGAAAGTCATAGAAAGCCAACCACTTTGCTAAAAAGTTGAGAATTAACTCAGTGATTTTCTATATGACCTCCATTTATCTGAACAGTTTTTGATACATTGGTTATGATTCATAGGTTAATATTGGCTGCTCCCACGATTCTAAATAGTAAATCATCAATATTTGTAACTGGATTCACGCACAATAGAGAAAGGAATCAAGAGGTGTAAAGTCGGGGCTATTAGGGGGCCATGGAAGACCAGCTCGTTTTATCCAGAAAATTATCTTTTAAAGTGTGAACATTTTTTGGGTCGTACAATGGAGAAGCAAAGTAGGAATACAAGTGTAGAATCCTCGACTATATCGTTCACTTTTGCGTCCGTCCGTCTACCCCGGTGCTTTTATATGCATATGCTGGAGCTGCGGAGGGGCGTGGCTAAGTCCTACTGATGGGAAAACCGAGGTTTTCTGGGGAAATTCGTCGCATTTTAGGAAAAGGGCATAGAAAATAACTCTCAACCGGTCGCAGCCAATACAAAGTGAAAGAATCAGGTCCCAATATGTTAAATTTTTAATTAAAGTTTCTTTTCAACATTGCCTCTTACTAATTAGCTTGCGTCATTGCCCTAATTCTTAATGCCATCCTCACAAGGGTCTCCAATCGGGCCACGTCAAAGCCAGTCCCAATTAATTCCCATCATAAAACCTAATTTATCGACTTCATTTCCTCGAACTGTTCAATTACAGATCGCGGAGGGAGAGGCCGGAATAAAGCCCTGTCCGATTTGGGCTTTAGTGAATGTCCCTGAGCTAAAAAGCCAGCAGCCGTTTGGCCAAAGACATCTAAACTGCCAATATTGAGTACGGGGTTGTTTTAATAAAATGTCCCCCCTTTAGTCGACGGGCAGTCACCCTAAAATATGGCAATCTTTTTTTCGTGTTTTAGCAGTAAACTGTGAGGTACTGAGGCGTAACTGAGATAAATAATGAAAAATTTCCCGATTTTTTCCAGCAAAGGGGCAATAAACGCAACTCATGGTCTCCAAGCGGAAATTTTGACTCATGTAAAGCATCATTAGGGGGGCGGAACAAAGAGAACTGGCGTGAAAGGCCTGTAATTGTATATTGCCGAGATTGCCATCTTCTTGCTTGGTTTCGTAATGATTTTCGCGACCGGCGTGGGCTGAAACTGCGACATGCAGAATTACGCAAAAACTAACCGGAGTTTTTCATTTTTCCATCCATTATTCAGTAGTTTAGCAAGTTTAAAGCGCCGCATAAGTTGGGGATGGGAAATTAGTGGTTCGTCAAAACTTTCCCAGCCAACTCTCGATGGTTTCAGATGTTTAAATAGAAAACCGTTAGCTGTAATCACTGGAGGAAGTTCAAGCGCGCGTCGAGAGACACAACTTCCAACCGGACGTCTTGGCTTTATGTATGTGTCTCTAAAATGTGGAGCTTAACAGTTGTTTTCTAATTAAATTTCCAAAACCCCCATCTTGTCTAATGTGCCGTTAGATTTGTGTTCTTGAGTCGTCTACAACAGTTTAGCCGTTATTTAGATGCGGAGTTATCCGGGAAGCCACAAGGAATAATCTGGAATTGCGGATTTTGGATCCGTACATGCAAACCGTACAGTTTAGTTTAGGTTGATTTTTTCAAGAGTTGGGCTGAATAAGTGAATCCGTTTATGACTCCAGTGAGGAATCGGTGGCTCATTGATTTTGGGCAAATATTTCTAAATTCGGAATCTTTAGCATTTGAACTGGCAATGTTGACGTTTTTTTCGGGGTTTTTTGGGCAGAAAATCGCTTTCAGCCGAAGGAAGACATCGCGACTGAATGCGTTAGTGATTGATTGTTGAGTTCCAGTATGGAATTGATGAACGTCGGCAATTTTCCAAAACAGGCTTCGATTCCTAATCCTAATCCTGAAAGTTTAAGAGCCAAACATGAAAGTGCAAAAAGCGATCGTTTTCAACAGCTTCTTGCATCTCTGCGGCCAGTCAGCCAGTGGAATATTTCCCTGATTTCTCCAGTTGACCGATCCGGATCGAAGGACCACCCATGTTCTCCGAATAATTGAAATGCTGCTCAAATATTTCATGACTGGAACAGAGTTTCCTTGTATGGAACGCCCATTTCATCACACTTAGCATATTTGAGTTGGAATTATTTGCTTTCCAAGCTGAGCCCGCGCATATTCCCCTGTTCCTTTTCATGTAGCAAATTGCAATATCCCAAATGACTCTTTTCTGGCGTCTCCCCAGTCCGAAGCAGCCCTCCAGGTATACGACATGGCCATATTACAATTAAAAATCACTCTGCCGATCGTTAAGAATCTTAATCTGTGAAAAGGGAGCAGTAGCGTGAAGGGGTCCGAAGCACAGAATATTCGGCCCCCTTTATGTATATGGTGCAATGAATGGACGCAATGTAGACAAGGCGTGAAACAATGGCCGGGAATGTTTTGGGGATCGAATCGGGAATTTGGGGATGCTGGGTTACAGGTGGATCGTCGCCTGGGTGCAAATGGAAGGGGGCTCCAAGTCGAAATTAGTCTGTTTAGGGTCTTTGCAATTGCCTAGAAATAGTTGTAGAAGACTATGAAGGCTTTCACGGCCGGTCAAATTGCATTTAGGAATGTTTTCCGGGCTTTGAAGCCGTGGTCTATCGGAATTTCTTCCTGACGTTTCGTCCACAACTGCGGTGGACATTTTCAAAGGCGATGAGTTGATCTCCCGTGCTTTCCGACTAAGAGTCTTAGTCGATCACTTCGCCCACTGCCTCATCGCCTTTGAAAATGTCCACCGCAGTTGTGGACGAAACGTCAGGAAGAAATTCCGATAGACCTACATTCCTAAATGTAGTTGTAGAAGAATTCTTGAGGGCGGTTTAGTCGTTACTGGCATTTTTTCATTTTTAGGTAAGTGGCACAATGAAGCTCGATCAAGGCTGAAATCGGCTTAGAGTGTGATTTGAATTGTTTCGATTAATAAAAGTGATGGTAAAGTGGTATTCAATGCTGATGTGAGGCGAAAAAATTGGCTTCTGGATCGCTTAATTTTTTTGTGTTCATATTCGGGCAACGGCAAAACCGTAATTCTGGAGGCCATATGTTGGAAGCGCCGAAGTGATGCTGATAAAAAAACGGCCTATTATGCAAACAGACGGGCATTAAATCAATTCCTCTGGCTGTGGCCGCTTTTTGCCAACATTGAAGACACCGGATCGGACCTCTAGTCCTCTAGTTCTGCCAGTGACAGCCCAATTCCCCACACAAGTGAAACAGATTTCGGCGTCGGCACAAATCGTTTAATCCAGGGTTTATTTAGTCTCAGTCTGGACGTTCTAATGTTATTTTTTTTCCGCTGTGTTTGTTTCTTTCGGGGATTTGGTGCCATTTCAAAGTGAATCGTCTTATTCCAGTGCGCTTAATGCGGCAGTTTTTTCGTATTGCACTGGACTAATGGTATTGGTTGCTCTTCTGGCTTTTAGTCCTTGCGTGTCACGACACATCTAATAAATTTTCGTGTTGGGCGGCAGTAAAAGCGACTGTTTCCACTGAATTCGGCTATATTTTAGTTTGCTAAATATATGTGATTTTTCCATGTTTGGATGACTAGTAGTCGTGTGATTGTTGCCAGGCTGAGCACATAGAAATTTGCCCGAACATGTAAGTTTTGTGGATCATTTTAGATGGTTGAAGCGGATTCATATTCAACTAAACAATTCAACAAAAAAAAACTTTTTTGGGAAAACCGCCCAAATTTCCTTATCAATGGTTCACTTTCTAAAAACGCCAAT